AAAAAAAAAAAAGCATATACAGGTGAAACTCAAAAAATTAGAATATTGTGCAAAAGTTAATGTATTTCAGTAATGCAACTTCAAAGGTGAAACTAATAAATTAATAAATGAGAGACTCATTACATGCAAAGCAAGATAGTTCAAGTCGTGATTTGTCATAATTGTGATGATTATGGCTTACAGCTCCTGAAAAGCCCAAATCCACAATCTGAGCTTAGAATATTGTGCCTTTTCACAATATTCTAATTTTCTAAGTGTCCCACTCTAATCAGCTAATTAAGTCATAACACCTGCAAAGGGTTCATGAGCCTTTAAATTGTCTCTCAGTCTGGTTCAGTAGGAATCACAATCATGTGATAGACTGCTGACCTGACAGTTGTGCAGAAAACCATCATTGATACCCTCCATAAGGAGGGAAAGCCTCAAAAAAAAAAAAAAAAAAAAAAAAAGTGTAATTGCAAAAGAAGTTGGATGTTCCCAAAGTGCTGTATCAAAGCACATTAGAAAAGTTATGTGGAAGGGAAAAGTGTGGAAGAAAAAAGGTGCCCAAGCAGCAGGGATGACCGCAGCCTGGAGAGGATTGTCAGGAAAAAGCCATTCAAAAGTGTTGGGGACTTTCACAAGGAGTGGACTAAGGCTGGAGTCAGTGCATCAAGAGCCACCACACAGACGGATCCTGGACATGGGCTTCAAATGTTGTATTCCTCTTGTCAAGCTGCTCCTGAACAACAAACCACATCAGAAGTGTCTTACCTGGGCTAAAGAAAAAAAACAAAAAACACACAAAAAAAAAAAAAAAAAAAAAAACAGACCTCGTCTGTTGCTCAGTGGTCCAAAGTCCTCTTTTCTGAGGAGAGAAACTTTTGAATCTCATTTGGAAACCAAGGACCCCGAGTATGGAGGAAGAATGGAGAGGCACACACTGCAAGATGCTTGAAGTCCAGTGTGAAGTTTCCACAGTCTGTGTTGATTTGTGGAGCCATGTCATCTGCTGGTGTTGGTCCACTGTGCTTCATTAAGTCCAGGGTCAACGCAGCCGTCTACCAGGAGATTTTGGAGCACTTCAGGCTTCCTTCCACAGACAAGTTTTATGGGGATGCTGACTTCATTTTCCAGCAGGACTTGGCACCTGCCCACACTGCCAAAAGCACCAAAACCTGGTTCAATGACCGTGGGATTACTGTGCTTGATTGGACAGCAAACTCGCCTGACCTGAACCCCATAGAGAACCTATGGGGCATTGCCAAGAGAAAGATGAGACATGAGACCGAACAATGCAGAAGAGCTGAAGGCCGCTATTGAAGCATCCTGGTCTTCCATAACACCTCAGCAGTGCCACAGGCTGATAGCTTCCATGCCACACTGCATTGAGGCAGTAATTGCTGCAAAAGGGGCCCAAACCAAGTACATATGCATGCTTCTACTTTTCAGAGGTCCGATATTGTTCTATGTACAATACTTTTTATTGATTGCATGTAATATTCTAATTTTCTGAGATTGTGGATTTGGGGTTTTCATGAGCTGTAAGCTACAATCACCACAATTATGACAAATCACAGCTTCAACCATCTTGCTTTGCATGTAAGGAGTCTCATATTAGTTTCACCTTTTAAGTTGCAACACAGTGGCTAAGTGGTTAGCACTTCCACCTGGCAGTACAAGGGTCATTGGTTCAAATCCCAACCACGGCACCACCTGCCTGGAGTTTGCATGTTCTCCCTGTGCGGGTTTCCTCCAGGTACTCTGGTTTCCCCCCACATTCCAAAGACATGCTGGTAGGTGCATTGGATCCTATCTAAATTGGCCCTAGTATGTATATGTATGAATGTGAGCTAGGGACCTTAGATTGTACACCCCTTGAAGGTTAGGGACTGATGTGAATGTACTATGTAAAAGCGCTGTGTAAATTGACAGCACTATACACGTACCTGAAATAAATGAACTTTTGTAAAATATTCAAATTTTTCGAGTTTCACCTGTATACTCAACAAGGGCTAGCGACGTACTGGTACATCACTGGACTTTGAATGGTTATACCAGGATGATGCCTACAGCTGCAGCCGGCGATCTGCTTTCATGTAAATGCAATCCTTGTGGCCAATTAGTGTCTCGGGCCAGAATGGTGTCAATCTCTATAGCCTAAGAAAGCAAAAGCTACGAGCATTTCATCACTTCAGTGTCGCAGGATATAAATAGCGTCATTTGTAAATTGGGAAAGCATCTGATCACACAAATCTTGGTTTGATTGGATAATATATAAAAACAGAGGAGAGATCTAGAGTCTGACAGACCCCAGATTTCTCAAAAACTAATATGACAATGTCTATTGAAGTTATAGGGGATATTGGCATTCCTTGTGATAGCATTAAAAGTTAAAAAAATAAACAAAGGGACCCTCAACCAAACCCCCTGACCCCAACCCCCATGAGCGTTGACCCGGTGTCTGTATGTAAACAGCAGTTGCACCATGAATGAGGCATCACCGTGAATGTCAGATCAAGGGCAGTAATTCTAACACTAGACCTCCTCTGTAAATCTAAAATGATAGCTTGTAAAAGGCCTTTAAAAACATTGCCTATGGATATTAAACACATATGCAGTTTGTCACCATTGCACGGGGCATGCGCAGTTTTAAAGCATGTCATGTTTGGTATTTTTTTTTTTTACTTGGTATACCATCATCTTTTATAGGTTACCAAATAATTGGCCAATATATTGTGTTTTATGAAAAAATTTTTTTTTTTTTTTAAAAACACAAAATTGTCACTTAAAATGATTTATTGCTCACACATCCCATGAGTATATGTGGAATTACACCCAAAATAAAAATTCTGCTACTTCTCCCGAGTATGGGGGTACCACATGTGAGATGTTTTGGCAGTCTAGCCAAGTACAGGACCCCAAAATCCAATAAACACCTTCAGGCTTTTAAAGGGCTTTATTTCCTCGTTACACTTCCTGACTACCCATCACAGTTTGAGACCCTGAAATGCCAGGATAGCACCAAACTACTTTGCAAAAAGGAGTCATGGGGGGGGGGGGGGGGGGGGGGGGGGGGGGGGGGTTTTGGTGCTATCCTGGCATTTCAGGGCCTCCGAAACTGATGGGTAGTGAGGAAGTTACGCACCGTCAGGCTTTCAAAGTTGTCATAGAATTTCAGGCTCCTGTATGTGGCTAGGCTCCCAAAAAGTCTCACATGGTATCCCCATACTCAGCAGAAGGTATTTTGGGGTGTCATTTCACATATACCCATGGCTTGTGCAAGAAATCTCATTAAAAAGGTCAACTTTGAGAAAAAAAAAAAATATTTATTAAGCGCTTCACAAAACTAAAGTAGGTGCAATGATATAAAAAAGTGACCACACTATTGAAAGGTATAGATAACTAGTGCTAAATAATTATAATTGTGTCTCTTGCCATGTCAGTAAAGTCAGACGTAATTTTCTCCAGACATTTCTATACAATGTGGACCTCATACTGAAAACCTTGGGTACCCCTGCTCTTACCTAATAAATGTTTCAAAAAGGAATTTCAGTTGAAATGAACTTTTGAATCAGGCGCTCCTCCATACACATCGGAGAATTTACCGTCTGGTGAGCATCTCCTTTGTCACTGTCAGACAGGTAGAAGTCTAGGACCAGAACAGGAGTCACCTACAGTATATTATGGATCTGCTTCTTTTGAAAAAAAAAAAAAAAAAAAAAAACCACCCACACTTAATGAGCGATTCATTGGAACAAACTTTTACCTCTATGACGGACACACACACACAAAAACGTCAGTAAAACAGAGGAAAGTAATCAGAGCCCCCTTCCATCCGAATCATCCAAGCCCCCCTTGCATCCGAGTACTTTACATTAGAGCCCCCCCTTACATGAGAGTCCCCATCAGAGTGCCCCATTACATGAGAGCAGAGGTGTCCCTAGGGTTGGTGTCAACCGATGTGGTAACACTTGGTGACACCCCCCTGAAGACGATCCCCGCAGAATGGATCCAATCTGCTTATTGAGCATAATGGATCAGACTCCGCTCCATTCGCAGATCCGATCCATCCTGCGGGGATCGTAGGCTTTTACAACTTACCTTTTCTTGGAGCTGGTCTGGTGTCATCCCATATAGGTTGCATGCCGAAGATCCCGCACCTATACCCCATGTGGTGGGTGTCACCCGGTGCGGACCGCACCCCCCCACTGGTCCCAGGACAGGAAGTAAAGAGCTAAAAAAAAAATAAATAAATAAATTTTATATATATTGAATAATGTTTTGCTTGGAGTTTTTTTTTGTTATCAGCATGATATGATCAACAGAGGGGAAGAAAAAAAAAAAAAAAAAAAAAAACACCCCACACACCTTCAGTAAAACAAAGGAAAGTAATGTCAAATTTGAGCTCATCAGAGGCCCCTTACATCCAAATCATCCCTTACATTAGAGACCCCTTAACATCAAAGTCCCCATTAGCATCCCTCTTACATCAGAATTAAAAATAAGAACACACTTATCTGCAAAAACACCCCGTACAAAACAAACAAAAAAAAAAGCCTGTAAAGATGACCAGAGACCATCAGCTCAAATGTGCATGCAGCCTAAAGCTGCTTTCACACTGCCACAATGTGGTTTGGCTGCAGCACAAATGCAATGTAACCGTGTTTTTTTATACTGCTTACCCACAGTTTTCCATAGACTTTCTATTACGTCCCACATTTTTGGTGCGTTTTCTAAAAGCCTGCATGCTGCATCTTTTGGTGCACTTTCAGAAAATGTTCTGAATATACAGAACAAAACAGACAGACAATGGGAAACCAGAGGTACACCACGCTGCGGCCAAACCTTATCACGGCAGTGTGAAAGGGCCCTTCACCCGGATTCCAGGCAAGGCACTAAAAACAGTTGAAATTCATATAGTGAAACGGTTTTATATGCCAAAACAAAAATTGCAGTTCTGTTTAGCCAAAATTGTCATTCAGACATGCCTGACACCACAATCAAGTCCCCAACCTCTACTCAGGGGCAGACTGACCATTTGGAAACTCGGGCACTGCCCAAGGGCCCAGGGTCAGTAGGGGGGCCCATGAGATGCCCCTGCTACCTTTTTCATAGGCTTTTTTGAGTTTGGGCAAGGACACAGGGGCCCCATGATCCCCTATTGCCCGGGGGCCCCATGAGTTGTCAGTCCGCCCCTGCCTCTACTGCACTTAAAGTGTGTTTATGGTGAAAATGTAAGATCATATATTGACTTCCACATTCTGTTTCAATTATTTATAGCCTATTCCTAACAATCTGAACTTCCTTGAATTCTGTGACACCTATTCACCATGTCCTGCGAGTAGGCACTGCTGTGTCACACATTTCATAGAGTCTGCCTTCTGAACTACACAGGTGCTGGGAGGAAGAGTTTCAGGAGGCGGAGTCAGTACAAAACTCAGCCTGCAAGCAGCAAGTTACCATGGGATATGTAGTTCTTGGAAATGGGAAGTAAACAGCAGAGGAGAAGCTGCAAAGCATGGAGGGACTCCAGGAAGCTGTGGAAAGATGGCCAGCAGACAGACTGTCATGGTCTGGGTCAGGTTCAGAGACCAGTTGCTATAGCAGTGTAAGGCTTACCTGAAACCAGCAGGATAGCTACACCAGCAGGTCCCCCTGGGAAAGGACACAGGCTCACCTGAGGTGCGGGGGGGGGTCTAAGCACTAACCGGTTTTTCACCAGAGCTCCTAATGGTGGAGATGGATTTGGCTGCGTGTTAGTACCAGGTCCCAGTTCTCAGGGTCACCCCACCAGGGAATGAGCAAGCTGGAATCCAATAGCAGAAAGAGCAGGTAGGGATCTAGCAGAAGCAGAGTCAGTCAACAAGCCAAGGGTCGGTCACAAGCGGTAGTAGATGGGGATGAGGCAGAATCATAGTCCAGGAACAAGCCAAAGATCGGTCACGAAGGTCAACCCGATAGAGAGACAAGCGAGATAGTGGCTGGAGAAGACCCAATAATCTGCCAAACAGGAAATGCAGAGACATGGCTTTTATCAGGAAGTTCATGGGAGGAGCAAGGGGTTCAAGGTTCACGATAAACAAGGTCCAGGTAGGATCATCCAAATAATTGTCAAAGGAGCTGTCCAGCATTCCTGGTGGCTAAGCAAGTAGAAACATTGCCTCTCACTGCAGAAGACCCAGGTTCAAACCCAGGCTCTGAAACAAACAGAACTCATGATGTAAAATGAGATGTTTTTCAAGTAACCTGATATTGGATTGTCAAAAATAACTATTGTTTGTATTGTTAATACAATGCTGATGTTATACGTTGTAGATCGTAACATAAAAGTACATGAGGTGACCATAGATCTCCTTTAACCACCTTCCGCCCATCATATAGTACAATGACGGGTGCAAGGTGGGTTCTCTCGTTCTGATAGGACGTCATATGACGTCCTTCCATTCTCACTGCGCATGCACGGCTCAGGGAGCGCGCAGCGCGGCAATCGCCGGTGCGCTGTGTCCCTCAGACACAGCGGATCACAGATCACGGGGTCGGTTCTGTCATATGATCAGCTGTGTCCAATCACAGCTGATCACATGTAAACACGGAAATGCCGGTTATTGGCATTTCTCTCCTCTCTAGCTGTCACGCTGACAGAAGAGAGGAGAGCCGGTAATCGGCTTTCCGCGGGCACTGATAATCAGTGTGGCCCCAGAAGTGCCACCTGTCAGTGTCCATCAGTGCCACCAGTCAGTGCTCATCAGTGCCACGTGCCAGTGCCCATCAGTGCCACATACCAGTGCACATTAATGCCACATATCAGTGCCCATCTGAGCTGCCTTTCAATGTCACCCATCAGTGCCAGTCAGTGCCACCTATTAATGCCAATCAGTGCATGGGTTTCCTCCCACACTCCAAAGACACACTGGTAGGTGAATTGATTCCTGTCCAAATTGGCCCTAGTATGTGAGTTAGGGACCTTAGATTGTACACCCCTTGAGGGTTAGGGACTGATGTGAATGTACAATATATATGTAAAGCACTGTGTAAATTGACAGCGCTATATAAGTACCTGAAATAAATTATTGCACTTTTTGGATTTTACATGCGTTTATGATTGATAACATGCATTTATAGCGCTGCACTATTACTTTAATATATTTCTATTCTGGGACTGTTGCCAATACCCTGAGTGATAGCTGCTACCTTCATATCTATACCTAGATTTATATTTATCTTGTGTAATACCATTTTAGTAGTCTATATAATTTGACCAGCGCTCGCTTTATCATTTTTAAACAATGTAACTATTCTACATTGGAGCTCAACCTGTGTCTCCCACAGTGGTTTAGTGGTTAGAACTCAGAACTTACAGCACTTGGGTTCTAATCCCAGCCATGGCTGTATCCCAGTTTGCATGCTTTCCCTCTATGGATGTGTTTCTGCCAACACTCCAAAGACATGCTGTTAGGTTAATTGGGTTTAGTACATGGCTTTCTGCCCTTAGATTATAAGCTCCTTGACATTTATGAATATTAAAAAAATGGAGATCAATTTTCTGGTTTGTGTCAGTGCCAGTAATATTAATCAATCAATTAAGATTTTGCCTAATGAGTGGAAAGGGGGTGAATCTTACCTGCGTCCTGTTCTTCTGACAAGTTGAAAATGTGCAAGTTTCATGCTGTGTATATTTCATTGTAACTTTTTTTATCTTCTTTTAAACCTGTCTCCTTATACAACTTGACCCCCTCCCCCACCCCATCATCACCTGTCCCATATGCAAATCTATGGATCACGCCCCACTCTTTTTAACTATTTATTTACTGATCAAGTGAATGTGTCTCATTTTCTATCAGCTACAACTCAGATCTCACATTATTATACGATTGCTGATTGTATATCACCACTAGTCTGATCAAATTCACAATTCCTGGTCAGTCCCGTTCCCTTACCTCTAATAACTGTTAGGGCCAGTTCACACTACATGTGTTTCAGTTGCTTTTTCGGCATCACAAACACACAGAAAGAAGGTTATATGGTTGTCAATGTCATAGTTCACATCAGCACTTGCATTTTCAGTGCATTGCAGGTGCTGTAAACAAAGTTGACCACGCTGCATTGTTTCTGCACAGAACTGTACTGGAACGCGTTGAAACGCCCTTGAATGTACTAAAACGCACATGTCCCTAATTAAATTGAATAAAAAGAAAGTAGAAAAAACTAACAGGATGGAATACAAAAATGCAATGCAACGTGTCCAAAAACGCATCCAAAATGTACTGGAACACACTAAACATGCATGCCAAAAGGGCATGCAAAAACGCATCAGGGACACATCTAGACTGTTTCTATTGTGTGATCTGGCCCTTAGGACTTGTTCACACCATTGGTGGTGCTGAAACGCTTGCAAGAACACACATTTTCCAGCACAGCAAAGAAATGCAATGCCCTTTGCAGATGTGCGCAGGTACCATGATGAAAACGTAATTGCACCTACACACGTCTATTAAAAACAGAACCAATTCACAGCCACCAAAAACACATGGCACCACACTACTGTGCGGTTAGGTGCAACACACTTTTAAAATAATATGCCTGTGGTATTTTTGCATGTTCCCACACATTAGGCAGCCCATTGAAATTAATGAGCTGAGGAAAAAAAAAAAAAAGTAAAAAATGCCCCATTCACACAGGTCCTCTTGCCTGTACAGCATGAATGAGTGGGTTGTTTTATGTGGCTAGAGCCACCTGTTACACTGTGGGGACACAGCAGCTGTATGAACACAGGTTTCAATCTGACAGGTGTGAAGGCGTGGGGAAGTGGCCCTGAATGCTCACTGTCTGTGTTCAGGGCTGTACACCTGCACCCATATGCTTGTCAAATTATGCACTGCAGCATTTCCATAGTGTAACATAGGTTGCCTGCAAACAGCGATAGCCACAAAAAACAAACCGCTGATTCCCACTCTACAGGCCACAGCATCCATGAACCTCAAGACCTCAATTACACACACAGCTTTATTTATGAACTCAGTACAGTTTTATCATTTAGATTTCACATGAATATGATTGGGATTATGTCTATTAATTATGTTTTTAGTGTAGTTTTACCATAAATATAATTTGGATATTTTCTCTGGTGGTGGGGGGCTGTCAGGTATGCTATATGGGGCTCCATGATATCTAACAGTGGCCCTGGGTGTATGCTTGTGTCTGTGTCACCAATATAGTTAGGAAGAACCTTGAACCTCTGCTATGTACCTCAATGGATCTAGGAATTGGACATGTTTTCAACTGAAAATACAACAATTATTAGTAATGTTTCCTCGGCAAATGAGGATCAGCTCCTCGGTGGAGAACAGTGATCTCGCCATGTCCAGATGTGGGTGGGATCACATGCTTGATGTCCCCGGCTGGCCCCGCCCCTTACCTATTTAAGAACTGTCAGCGAGACTGGTTGCATAAGGCAGCTAGCTTCGGTCAAGAGCGGATCTTTTTTTTTTTCTTTTTTCTGGTCGCCGTCGTGACAGCGTGATTGACGTTGGATCTACTTCGGGGGACATTGTTTTATTAAAGGACTTGTCAAAGACCCTGTACTGTGTTTTTTTTACACTACACTTTTGCTTTTTTTGTGAATTAGTAGCGGTACCATGTACCGCATACTCATTCACGTAGGGGGGGGTCGGGATCTGGGGGCCCACTTGTTAAAGGGGGCTTCCAGATTCCGATAAAGCCCCCCACCCGCAGACCCCCACAACCACCTGCCAGGGTTGTGGGGAAGAGGCCCTTGTCCCCATCAACATGGGGACAAGGTGCTTCTGGGGGGGAGCCCCCCTGCCCCAAAGCACCCCCCCATGTTGAGGGCATGTGGCCTGGTATGGTGCAGGAGAAGGGGGGCGCTCGCTCGTCCCCCCCCCTTTCCTGACCTGCCGAGCTGCATGCTTGGATAATGGTCCGGTAGGGATTTTAGGGGGAACCCCATGCTGTTTTTTCTTTAATTTCGGCGTGGAGATACCCCTTACTATCCATACCAGACCCGAAGGGCTTGGTATGGATGGGGGGGGGACTCCACGCAGTTTTTTAAAATATTTATTTGATTGACGGAAATTATTTAAAATTCAACTGTCAGTGGGGAACCCAGCTGACGGCTGAAACATTAATGCAGGCCATAGACGGGTCGGAAAAATCGGTCGTTCAATAGTCTATGGCCTGCATTTTTCTTTATGTTTTTCTTCTTCTTTTTCTTCTATTTCTTCATCTTTTTCTTACAGGTCACGGCTCATGCGCAGATTTTTTTATCAGTAAAAAGATCGGCCAATTTGCCGATCATTGCCGTGAAAATTGTCCGTTCGGCAAAATCGGCCGATTTTTTTTCCAAATTTCATGATTTCGGCAAAATCGGCCGATTTTCGTACCGTTAGTGGATTAGTTTGTCGGCCGTTTTTTTCGTGTATTTTGCACTTTCAGATTATCAGTTATATTGGGAAATTTGCGGTCGATTTGGACGATCGGCTGATTTTCCCAGCAATCATAGCCAAATCGGATGATCGTTTTAACGATAAAAAATCTGCGCATGAGCTGTGACCTGCAAGGGACAGAAGTTATGGGGTGAACTTTATGATTTAGTCGGACAATTTTTTTAATCGTTGGTGGTAACGTCGGCCGAACGAACAACCAATTTTTCATTTATCGTTCGAAAAATCAGCCGATGTTCAACCAATCTATGGCCTGCATTAGTGGGTTAAGTGGCCGGCCGTTTTTTTGGGATTTTGGCACATTTTTTAAATTGGTAAATCTGGATAAAAATTGGCCTACTTTGCCGATCGGCCGATTTTCGCGGCAATGATCGGCGAATCGGCCGATCTCTTTACCAATAAAAAATCTGCGCATGAGCCATGACCTGCAAGAAAAAGAAGAAAAAGAAAAAATGCAGGACATAGACGGGGCGAAAACCGGCTCCCCCCCCCCCCTTCCTGACCTGCTCTGGTATGGATTTTAGGGGGAACCCCACGCTGTTTTTTTCTTTAATTTCGGTGTGGAGTAACCCCTTAATATCCATACCAGACCCGAAGGGCTTGGTATGGATGGGAGGGGGGACCCCACGCAGTTTTTTTTTTCATTATTTCTTTAATTGACGGAAATTATTTAAAATTCAGCTGTCAGTGGTGAACCCCGCTGACAGCTGAAACATTACTTCTGTCCCTGCAGAGAGCTCCACTATTATATTTGACATTAAAAAGTATAGAGGTCGCAACATTGTATCTATTTGTATCCATTTTGGATATAGATGTTTTTATTTGGATACAAATAGATACAATCTTGCAACCTCTATACTTTTTAATGTCAAATATAATAGCGCAGCTCTCTGCAGGTACAGAAGTAATTACTTCGCTATTATATTTGCAGGCCATAGACGGGCGAAAATGGGTTGATTTTTTTTACTGTTGGTGGTAACGTCGGCTGATTGAACAACCGATTTTTCATTTTCTTTTTCTTCTTTTTCTTGCAGGTCACAGCTCATGCGCAGATTTTTTATCAGTAAAAAGATTGGCCAATTTGCCAATCACTGCCGCGCAAAGCGGCCGATCGGCAAAGTCGGACGATTTTTATCCAAATTTACCGATAAAAAAAAAGTGCCAAAATCACAGAAATTAAAGAAAAAAACAGCATGCGGATCCCCCTAAAATCCATACCAGACCCTTATCCGAGCATGCAGCCCTGCAGGTCAGGAAAGGGGGGGGAACGAGCGAGCGCCCCCCCCCCCCCTGAACCATACCAGGCCACATGCCTTCAACATGGGGGGGTTCTTTGGGGCAGGGGGGCTCCCCCCCAAAGCACCCTGTCCCCATGTTGATG